CATTTGTGTTGTAATCCCCCTTCCTCAATCTGCAGAAAGTCAAATTTCCTATTGCAATCAGTGCAGCAATCATCATTAGGGAATCTCCACACCCCGGCCCTACTGTGTCTCAATTAAATAGGTAGCAAAAGCCCACTAGTGCATCTCATGCCTCTTCCCCTCTGACGTGCCTCTGTAGCGCTCTGTTTTAAGATCTCTGCTGCTTCCTTGTGTTCAGAGGGAAACTTCAACTAGCTGGGCCCGCACCGAGTCTATGGCCCGTGTTCTGTTTTAGCAACTTCAGGAGTCTCTGGGTGGATTCTGTCTGGATCCGGCTCAGACTCCTGAGCGCTTCAGGATTCCCCGAGAAGCGGGGCCAGCCCTAGTAAGTGGGAAGCCTCCCTCTGGGTGAGGGGAAGGCGGCGCAGTTCGCATGTAAGTGTTGGCTTAGTACAAAGGGGAAAGGAGCGAGACGTTCTCGTCGCTGACTGGTCGAGCTCCCCGGCAAACGCCAGAAACCTCCAGGAATCCCCTTCTAGAGAAAATCGGATCCCTTGTTGGGTGGGTCTGAATCCGCCGTCCCAGTGGCCGCGCCAGGGCTGGGCTGGTCCCAGGCACCTCGCTCTCAGTGCAGAGCGCTGAGCCCGCTTCCCATTTAGCGCTCTCGGGTGTGATGGGGGCGGGCACACCAAAGAGGCTGTGTATTTACAGTAGGGTCTCACCGGAACGGAGCGGGTTCTTCAGAGGGGCTTTTCTGGCCCCTCTCCTCGCCAGGGCTGAAACGTTTGTACGGACGGAGCTGAGAAGTAACCCCGCTCCCTCACCCCTAGTCTCCTGGGAGGGGGGGACCCAGGAGTCCGAGCCCCCTCTGCTCCTGCATGACCCATGCAGGGAAAGGGAAGATCTTAGGGTCTGCTGAGCCCCTTCTCCCCATACAAGCAGCGGTCTAACTCTAGGCGAGTAACTAATGCGGGGAATGAGGGCTGTGTGAGCCCCTCGCCTCCAGGGGGAGGATCCTGCCGCTTTAGCCCCCTCTTGCCCACCAGTGTGGAGCGAGCGAGCTGGCGCGGGAGGCCCCCTCCTGTCCCTTCGCCCCACTCAGTATATTCCCAGGGGGAGGGGAAAGGGGGCGGCTCCTCGCGTTGTGGTTTCTTCCGCGCTATGAATGAAGCTCTTGAGCGTCCCAATCCACATGTGAGGCGCTGCGCTTTGCATAAAGGATTCCCCGCTCGCGAGACATCTCTTCAACGGGAGGCTGGTTGCAGCTGGATGGCGCCTCGCTTGGGGGATTGCCATGGCGTGCTCTCCAGCTGCACCAGTCATTTCCCAGCCGGGCCATCTCTTACCTGGCAGCGATGGGCGGGGAAGCAGAGCGCACTTTTTATTCTGGGCTGGAGCTGCGGGCTGTAGTGGGTGACCCCCCTCCCCGCCTAATGGCTGTGGTTCCCCCTTGCTATAAACGTAGCCAAAGGCTGCAGTAGGGTAATTCCTCATGCTCTTCAGTGGATGCTCTTCCAGCTCTTGGGCAGCTGGAAAGGGTAGCTCTGGCCAGGAGGTAAAGAAAAGCAGGAGTTCCCTGGAGTTTCTTCAGTTCGGTTCCTTTGACAGCTAAGAACAATTGTTCAATCTTCAATTGGCAATAATGTCGAGAGGCGATGAAAAGACAGATCTGGTCATTCCCCCCGGACCCTGCGCTACTTCCCTAGGGACAGGGAAGGAAAGTATAACAAATATAGACAACAGTGTAAAGATCTGCCGAAAACAGGCAGGTGAGAAAAAGTGTAGACTATAAAGAGGGGTCTGACCTCGATAATATTCGATCATTGATAACCCAATTTAGCTCCATGATTAATATTTGAATCGCCCGGGTGGATTGGCTACGAACAGAATTGTAAAGATAATGAGTACCATTTAACTACTTCCCTCTTGTCCTCGTTCTTTCTAGTGGAAAGTGATTTTCCTATTGCATACGCGAATAAAAAGCTTAGCAAAACGTTAAGGGCAGGAGGAAAATAGTTTCATTCATCCTCAGCCTGCGCTAGAGGTGCTGCAGAAAAGGGAGCTGAGCATTGTTGGCGTCTTGTGAACTAATGAATCTGAAACGAAAGGAACAGTAAATTCCCATCGTGAGAACTGGGTTTCTCTTGGCAAATATTTTACCCATATGTCATTTAAGTGTTTGATCTACAGGCAAGGATCCAAAGGGGGGTGGGGATGGAGAGATGTAGGGAGTGGGACTTTAAACCAACATAACCAAGGGAATTCATAGTGAAAGGTGAAAGGTTTTCCTTTAATCAGTACATTGTGCTGAAGCATTGCAGCTGATGCAGCCTCAGTATAGAGGGCGACTGTCTATCATAAGGGTAGTCTCTAGGGCTGCAATATTTAGGCATAAACCAAGCGAAATGAAGATAAGAGTTTTAGTACTAACGCTGATTGTCCTGAATTCTGCTGGTTAAACTGGACCAGGTGTAACGCTCCTGCGTGAATTTCTTTGCCTTTTTAAGTCTGTAAAATACACATTCAAACGCCTTGGTTACTTTGAGTATCGACATACATATTAAAACCTCTGTGACAACTGTTACACCGCAGTAGCTTTAAGAATTTAAAAACTAGACACTTCGCGGGTCTCTTCTTTCAACCAGACCATCACTCCTATTCATTTTAATAGGCAATGGGTGTGCCTCAGTAAAAGTAAACCCTTTATTATTTTACACAATTTACGAAAATAGTGTAAACTTAGGCATAGGCCACTTTTAAACACATACCATCTGTTCTTACATACAATGGCATTAAACAGACTTTAAAACTCTCTCTCTAACTACCAGCAGTCAGAGAATTTATAAAACCCCAAGCCTTTTTGTTAAGAAACGCTGATACTGCTACTCAGTTGATGCTCCAGGTTCCTCTCGAATTTTGCTAACGTCTGTGAAAACTTTTGATGAACCAGCAGCAATTTTTGGGCGCACCTGAGAAGATTGGACAGTTTCACCTAGCCATGACCCTTAAAGTGCCAAATACTACTGAGTTATGGCCTAGTGTGACTGTGCTTTGGGGTTCTTAAATACAGAACTGAAAAGCAACTCAAGGGGTGCATGAGTCGAAACAATAATCATGAAAGCTTTGCATGAAATCCCACCACATTTTCATAGCATTCACTGCCAGGAATTTGCTCAACTCTGAATCTGGCCTTTGTAATAATAGACACACCTATTCTCCAGGTTTTTCTATGAGTGCTGTTTCAGGTGCTACTATCTAGTACAGTGGTTCTTAATCTTTCCAGACTACTGTACTCCCTTCAGGAGTCTGATTTGTCTTGTGTACCCCCAAGTTTCACCTCATTAAAAAACGTCTTGCTTACAAAATCAGACAAATATACAAAAGTGTCCCAGCACACGATTACAAAAAATTGCTTATGTTCTCATTTTTATCATATAATTATAAATCAGTTAAAGTATAAACATTGTGCTTACATTTCAGTGTCTAGCATATAGAGCAGTATAAACAAGTCATTGTCTGTATGAAATTTTAGTTTGTACTGACTTTGCTAGCGCTTTTTATGTAGCCTGTTGTAAAACTAGGCAAATATCTAGATGAGTTGATGTACCCAGCGGTAGGGTTCCCTGATTGAGAACCACACATCTAGTACACTGTCAATGTGCACTCTTAATCTTTCTCTTTTTGAAGTAATGGGCCTAGACTGTGATCACATTTAAACCAGTGTAAATCCAGAATATCTTCACTGTCTCAAGTTGACTCACTCCGGATTTACACCCCTATGAATGTGATCAGAATCCGGTCCATGGTGCCCAGGGGAATTGACACTGTGCAGATAGGTATTATCTTTGCTAGGTATATTGTGCCCAGAGTGTACATCGATGTGTGCCTTCTAATAAACATGTATATACATTTTTAAAAGTGTTCAATGGAAACACTAATCGACCCTTTGCTAAAGTGGAGCTAGAGAGAGACCCTATAAAACACTGTATTTAGATTTCTGACCATGACTTCATACTCTGACTCTGGTTACCTTCTCCAGACCTGAAGAAGAGCTCTGTGACACTACAAAGCTTGTCCCTTCCACCAACAGAAATTGGTCAAATTAACTTGACCGGGTGCACCTTGACTCTCTCATGTCCTGGGACCAACACGACTACAGCAACACTGCAAAGGTGACTTCATCTGCCGTTTTAAAGAGATTTGGACAGCAAATGCCTAATCTAATCTCAAAAGAAATGGGAGATGAGTAAATGGGAGGGGGGGGAGGGACCCTGGCTCGGTGCTGTGGATTGGGACTGCCTGTGAATGTGGCACAGACAACCACCAATATATTCTTTCATTACAAACCTCCGTTGAGATTTTTTTTAAAGCGATTACAATTCCGATCACTTCCCCCATTTAACTGGTGTTGGAAGACACAATAGGAGAGTTCCTTCGTTCTCTTTTAATTATTTAATTAGGGATACAATGCTTCCTTCACGCTAGGACAAAACATAGCCTTTCCGGCTGGAAGATCGTGTGTGAGCGACAATTTTATTCAGCGTTCTATTTGTTTGTATGGTTCTAACAGCAAGAAATCGCGTTCAGTTTCCCTTGACGTGAAAAATGATCTGCTGCTACCCGCAGACTCGTTAGGGTTCATGTAAGGGATATTCCCCCAAAAGTACTGGGCTGACTCAACAAAAGCCTATCGTGTTCAGGGGTTGGGAGCAACTTTTCTGTGCAAAATAAGGCGCTGAACTGAGAAAGCAGCTTCCCCCTCCCCCTGTACTTTGTCAGGAGGGACTGAGGAGTGCCTGGCGAAGGAAGCGCTGGGAACTGGCTGCTCCTGCCCCCTTTCCTGTGTTACAGAGTTCTGAGCTCTTTGCTCTTGCTGCGGGCTTCTTCAAGAGCATGTGTGGGTCCACCCTCCTCTTACAGAGCTAGGGCCCCTCCTCTTGCAGCTCTGACGGTACAATGATATAGTAATGATGGGTGTTGGAGCTCGCATTTGAACTTGCAGGCAAGCTGTCTTGCTCCTTCTTTTGCTAGAACTCAGTTCAGACTCAACAGCTTGGAATCAGGTGCTCATCAGTGGGGAGGGCTGGAGACCCCGGAATCAGCATCTCCTTCCAGCACTAACCAGGGGATTTACTCTTTCATGCGGCCACTGGGAACTCTGGACTAGTCCTAGCACTACGTTGTGATTTTTTGCAGTCTCTGCAATAAACTACCTTTTAAGGTAACTATGCTCCTTTTTATGCACTTTTTACATTTGGCTGCTAGAAAACACCTCGTGTAATATTTAAAGCTATTGTTTGCTGTTGGTACCTTCAAAGACAAAGCGTTTAACTGGAAAGCTAAGGTGGCGGAAGATCTGGTAAATTTTAAAAATCTGGGTAAGTTTTCAAGGACAAGTAGAAAATGAAAAGGTTTTGTTGGTGACCCACAACATTTACTGGGGAAAAGAATAGAACAAAGAAATCTGGGGAATAGAGGAGTTTGGGGGTGGCGACAGTGAAATAACTCTCTGGTATTGGTTGTCGAATGGATAGCAAGGTAGAGCTGCACCTTGATTTGTAATGGGACTTAGAAGGCTAAGCGAAGGGAGAAATGAGGAACTATTTGTAGGGGTGTTAAATACACAAAGCACCACCATTGGCACAATAAGAATGGTCCTGGCTGGGGAGCCTTTCTAGCCACCAGGTTTAATTGCCTGTGGAATAGTGTATGGTCAGTTTCTTATGTCCCGAGTGCTTTTTTGGTGTTCCTGGAAAGCTGCTCTCAGGGCAGCCCCAAGCTGAGGGGCTGGGGGACCTCTTTAGACAGCATCCCTCCAGAGGAGACAGAAAGCAGGCGTTCTCTAAGCTACATTTTCTTGGTAAAAGGGGGGGGGGGAGAGAAAGGATCACAGGGTTAGTGGAGCAAAACGCCCCCTGTTACACCCGCAGCCAGCTTCTCTGCTCCTTGGGAACACAAGACGCTGCCTTTTCTCCCTAGTCCTTGGGTTCCCCCTTTGTTTTAGAAAGAGAGTGAGCGAGCGTCATGGAAGGAATTAGGGGAGTTTAGACCGCGCAAAAAAAAAGCTCCTTTGCTAAGGGGAATCATAGAGATAGACGCATTTGTTGTGATCTTGTCCATTTCCCCCATTTGAACCGCCCTTGTTTAAAACTTTTGCACACAAAGGGATTTAAGGAAGGATGCGAGGACATGCTCTCTCATTACCCCACCTGTCACGTTCAGTCTGCTCTATCTATCATTTATCTAGCCTTCAGACATCGGAGCGGAGCCAATTTTAATGAGTGAGCCGTGGAGATTTTTTTGGAGAAATGAGAGATTTGAAATGTCCCATTGAAACACATTGCACAGTCCGCCCTAAGAGGGAGATGTTTTAAACACGGCTTTTTCCTCCCAAAAGAGGGAGTTTTCTTACCAAATTAGTAAGACTTGGCAGATCTGAAACAACTTTAAAACCAAACGTAAAGACCAGTGGCGTTTCTCTGAAGCATATTGTAGGGCAAATGAAAGAGCCGTTCATTATTATTATTATTTTGTTACCCAAAGTGAATAATTAAGGAACTTTCCCTTTCTCTTGGTTAAGTCCTCACTTGGCTGCAGGAGAGCCCAGGGGAATGGCTTAGCTAGGAGGTACCCATAACAATCCAGGGGACTAAGCAATGTGAAATTTACAAACCTCAAGCCCGCCCGTGGCTATTACTCAATCCTATTAGAACGTGCCCAGATTTCTCTAAATGTCACAGGGTGTGGGACCGTCATTTCAATACAATTCAAGCGAAAAGGAAAAACCTATGTCATAGCTGGAAGTAATTGCTTTGAAAATCCAGCTGTTCGCTTAGCACATCGGCATGTTACTGAGTCTGGGAAGCGAGGGGAATTTATCTGGGTAGATTGGGAATAATAAAAGCTGGAGAACTAGAGCAGAGACTTGGTCCAAAAGGAGTCCGTCCTCCTATGAAACACGCAGTGCCGCTGAGACAACCTCCGGGAGAGGGGCAGGGTATTTTCTCTAGCAAGGAAAGCCTGTGTGCCCAGTAACCCCTCCCCCATCCCGCCAATAAATGAATGGGCTGGACAGGACTTCAGTGGCTTGGTTCCTGTGTAAAATCGCTAACAGGCTCCGTCCTCCTGTTGAGCACTGATACATGGTGGGGGGCGGTGCATTTAATCGGTTCTAAACCCTGAGCTGATGTCTAGGAATCTTCCGGTCTCGAGAAGACCCTCGGCTCCCCCTACTGGTGAAACGGGGAATACCAAAGATCACATTTTTGTAACCAAGTATCAGGGGGTAGCCGTGTTAGTCTGTATCTACAAAAACAACAAGGAGTCTGGTGGCACCTTAAAGACTAACAGATTTATTTGGGCATAAGCTTTCGTGGGTAAAAACCTCACTTTAAGGTGCCACCAGACTCCTTGTTATTTTTGTAACCAGCATCCAGACACCAATTATTCCTTATTTGTTATCAACAATGAATGGTAAATAATCACCAGTCCGGGCGTTTACTTGGCCAGGGTTACTTTCCCCCTGCATACAACAATGACTTGCGTTATTCCATCGTCCCTTTGCATATTAAAACAATGTGTTATTACTAAAATACGGTAAAGTATTCTCTTGATTATCAGGGCAGACGCCTTGTTTAAATGTGAGGTTTACTTTCAGGTTAAGCTTCGCCTCCAAAACTCTTCCGCCGAAAAGCTTTCCTGCTAAGGAAGTGTTTAGATCTGCTTTAAATATTGGTTTAGCTGACGCTCCAGCCTCTCCCAGGTGATGGATGCTTCAAGACGGAACAGATATTAACCCTAAACTTCTAACGGTGACATGACAAGACCCAGAGGATCCTCCATGTGGCTCAAACAGAGCTGCTCGGGAAAGCAAACAAACCAGGCTCAGAGATAACGTTTCTTCCACCCCCGTCTGTTTTCAGAGTCCCTCTAATCCCGGCTGGGGTTTGGAAACGTGCATTTGACGGTATGAGGAGGGGAAGGAGCCGCTCGGAGGCCAAGGACTGGAGTGTTAGGCAGGAGCTGGAGGGGTTTCAGTTTGGGTTTGATTCCGCTCTAGGGCAGTTGTGGGTCTTCGCCGGGCGGGCAGAGGGGGTATCGCAGGAAAGCGCAATATGAGCGTTGCCAGCTGCTGCCATCAATGAGCTCCGAAGGGACTTGGACTCGGGCAGTTTGCCAGAGCACTTTCAGATGCCAGCAGCGCCTCCCCCGGTTTAGCGATCTGGGATCGGAGGGCTGTCGCGCCTTCAGCTGGGAAGGCAGCTGCCTGCAAGTAACTAGGAACTTACTGGGCTCATGGGGAGGGAGCCGGTGAGATCTTGTTCCCTACAGCCACGTGGACTCTGGGAAATTCTTCTGGGGGTGGGGAGCTCTGAAGTCAGCTCGATCCTTTGCTGTTTCTTTGTCCGCTTGGGTAAAGCGTTAAGCTAGAAACTGCAGAGAAATTGCCCGGGTGGTGCCTTTTGTTTAACTGGGGCGGGGGGGGGGGGGGGAGAAACAGAGCATGACAGGTATCTTCTCATTCAGCTGCATACAGTGCAGCGGTAGCAGGGGTCCATGACACAAAGTAAAACAAGCGGAGGCAGTTTAGAATTAATGTGACCTTGATCCTAACCTGCCAGATGTGCCTATCACAGGGAATCTTAATAGAATGATCTTTACCCACTAAACTCAGCTTGTTTCAATGCTCTGGACATTGGCTCCGGTTCTCACTGGCAGCACCATGGCCTAGATTGTGATCTCAGATGTCAATCTCTAGAGTGACCCTACTGAAGTCACTCTGGATTTAAGAGGATGCAACCGGAAACAAAATGTGATCCATTCATTCTTTTCCCATACATATGTTTAAAGGCACAATACAAACAATGGGTCAAGCTCACCCTGGGCAGGGTTATGCTGATATTAGGTGGAGAGCTCCTAGAGTGGAAAATTTGCCAGGAATGAGGTTGTGTCTATAAGGACCATTGGAGGCCAATAAAAACAACAAGGAGTCCGGTGGCACCTTAAAGACTAACAGATTTATTTGGGCAAAAGCTTTCATGGGTAAAAAACCATGCATCTGAAGAAGTGAGGTTTTTTACCCACGAAAGCTTATGCCCAAATAAATCTGTTAGTCTTTAAAGTGCCACCGGACTCCTTGTTGTTTTTGTGGATATAGACTAACATGGCTTCCCCCTGATAGGAGGCCAATGAAGCACCAAATTGGCAACATTGGGGTAACTCCTCTCATCTGCATAGCAGCTCCTTTGATAGTTCTTATGGCAGTAACCCCAAGGGAAGATCGCATTGCTCCTTTGAGGCTCCAGCACTAGTGAATTTGGCCCAGTGTGGACACAGAGGCTGTGAGGCCTGCTTCAAGATTCCATGATTCTTAACACAGGGACAAATTCTGCCCTCAGATTCACATGTGCAATGAAGTCAAGGGGAATTTCATGTGCAGGACATGCGAGTACAGGACTGACAATAGTAAACTGGAACATGAGGCTGTTAGGTGCACAACAGGGCCACACGTGTGCTGAATGTGCACAGAGCATTCATATGGCAGGGAGGGGGTTGAACAGATTTCTTTTTATAATTTACTTATTTCTAATAACAGCTTTAAAAAAAGATAAAAGCAACACAAAGTCCTTTGTAGAACCTCAGACGCAGACATGCTAGAATCTTTGGAGTGTGTTGTGTAAACTCACATTGATGTGTAAGACATCAGTAGATACCTTAAAATGTGTATGATATGCATGTGTATTTGAGAACCTAACAGGTAACACAAATCCAATCAACTCTAGTGCTCCTAACCAGCGAGGCTGGAAAAGTCTGTAAGATATGCAAAAAGTGAAGCATCCAGCTGAGACCAGCTTAGTACAGCTTCTGCTTGCATTGCCAGGGGATAAGTCCCTTTTTGCTCGCCTAATCGAATTGTTGCCTGTGGAGTGTGAGGGTCATAGTTTGTATTTAAATTGCAGTAATCTGCACACAGCAAATTCAGCCCTCGGATAAGACTAACTAGTTGAGTCTGCTCTATACAACAGGGAGGGAGTTGCAAGGTTTCTCTTGCCCCACCCCCAGGCCAATACTGCCTTCCTTGGTGTAATGAGATAAGGTAGCTCCAAGGATCTCCTTCCCTGCCCCTCCTCCTCCCAGCCTGGGGTAGGAGTCCAGGTCTTCCTCCTGCCCTCCCCCCCCCATTTCTCTTCTCCTTCCCCATTGCTCTTTCTTTCCCCTCTC